CCAACGAAAAGCTGATTCATGTCTTAGATTGCCCATGTGATCTTTCTGTCGTACTTTCAACTCTCCAAGGTCACTTTTGAAATTTTCCTGTAATGAATGCACTTGGCTGTGAAGCACTGATGTTGAGCGCCGTGACACATGATATTTTGATTAACATAAAACTGCAATGCCACATCTTCCGAAGGCTTTGGGTCAGTGGTCATCACAGTAGTTTACTGCGGCTAACTGACATCACTAGCCTAACACCTGCAGTGTGAAACTACCACAAGGACATTCAATGTGGGGAGAATTGACCACATCCATAAGACTACTTGATCCTGTTTTTCACGACTTAGTTGACGAACATCACCCTCATGGACAGCCTAATCGTCTGTGGATGCAGTTAGTTCACAAAAAAAACTACCTGGACAAACTCGGTGATATAATCAAGGACATTAAATTGACAAAGTATGCCTGTTTCTCTTCCTCTCCAGGTCTCGGACAGGTGTGACTATATTTTTGTAAATGGCAAGGAGACAAAAGGCAAAGTCAAGATGGTAGTAAACTTTACCTACAGCTACCTCAGTGCTCAACTTGAGTTGAATGTGTGGATGCCCCGACTCCCCCTCCGACTGGAGGTGTCGGACACAGAGCTGAGCCAAATCAAAAGCTGGAGGGTCCCTATACTAACAACCAAGAGGTGGGTTACACATTTCTGTCAATGAAAGACGACCTTGTTTGCCCTCTAGCCATTCCTTTTCCCAATTCAAATAACTGGTGTTACCTGTTTTTGCTTGCCCTCTGAGCCAACAAAAAAGAGCCGGGTTGACTGATGAGAACCTACGAGTCAATGATGTAATTGGTGGTGTGTTTTCTTTGTTTCAGATCTGTCTGGAACAGCCAAGTCGATGAAAAAAAGGGAAAGGGCTGCGCATTGCAGTTTCAGCACGCCCTGGTGCGTGTGCTAACCCACTTTGTGGCCGAGCAGGCGGACCCTCGGGACTCTCAGGCCTATTTCCTGGGCTCTGACTGGCAGGTGGATGTAACAAGACTTGTTAGATACTTTATGAAAGTGGAAGATCCTCGTGTGGCAAAGCTGCATGCCGGGAGGGTGCTTTCTGGCCAAGACATTGGGACCACTGCCATCCAGGTAAATACATCCAACCAATAATATGTGAACTCCTGACGAGAGCAAATAGAAAACAAGAGCACTGCGTCAGGATTGCGGCTGACTTGTATGTTCAGGCCAGCGAGACCAGAGTAAACCACATTTCAATATTGTTAGAGGGGTCATGCAGCAAGGCGAGGATTAACTCATTTAAATAGCCCCAGCCCAGGTGTTTCTCATCAGTTACTTTTACTTCTTTTGCATTGACGTTCGTTCAAAAAAAAAAAATGCAGATTCAAATCATGACGTACCGGATGAAGTTTGATTCATGGACAGTCATTAGTTTTTGGTTCCAAAAAGTGGATGTCTTTGGTGGGTTCAGATCCGTCCTCAGCCTTAAGAGGGGCACACAAAATGCATGGATGGTCCTGATTATTATGAAGACCCCGCAGACAATACTTACTTTGCTCCATATATTTGATTATCCCACAACTACAGAATTGCACTGGGTTATGTCCCAATCTTTCATGACACCTTTTGCGACAACCGCTGGCAAGTATTATTACAGACAGCATTTAAAGTATGTCAACATTTCAGTATGTCGACACCGCAAGATAATTTGTCAGGAAACATGGGCTGAAACATTGCGGGGGCGACTGATCCAAATTTTCAAATAAAGAATTCCGGCATCTTTTTATTTAGAGACCGCAGAAAGAAAACCTATATCAATAAATTTTACATAATGGCCAAAACAAAAGTAAGGTCACGAGTGGAGCGGCATTCCCAGCCTGAACAGCTGTCAAAGTGGCTTATGCAAATGGCATTAAAAGGGGACACTGAGAGCAGACAAGACCATGTAAAGTCAATTACAAAATTGGGATTATGCACAGCAAATAGTTGCTCATTCCTAGAAGAGACGGAAAAGTGCAGTTCCGCATTCACGGTTGAGGATATTTCTCATCACAAAGGCATCTCATTGAGCAAACATCAGCAATTGTGTGTGGTGCGAATTGATGTAATCCTCATTCGACAAATTGCAAAGCCGTGCGACATACGTTGAAATTAATAACATAAATCACACAACTGCATCCACATCCTTGCTACATTTGCATCTTTGCACACACATATTTAGACAAGTATTTTCTTTTTTTTTTAATCTTATTTTCTAATTCTAATGGTATTTCACAAGTCTTGAGACTTAACTGGACTAAACTGGGACCTTGGGTATCAAATTCGGTTCCTTATCAAGTGCAAATATGTTTTGGTATGACAATTGCTTGACTCGAGTAGATAAACTTAGCACACAAACTGTGTTTTGAATCCGATGAAACTAATTTGTGATTCAACTTACTGGATGTGACATTGTTCTGCGACAGGTGTTTTCTCCACTCTCTGATGCAGTCTTGGCCAAAACAATGGTGAAAGTCACAGATGAAAAAGTGACCATTACTGAACTGGGGGTCCAGATGGTTGCAGGTCTCTCAATGACCCTCCAGCTCAGCACCGGAAGCAACAGGGCCATTGTGGCAACCACAACTACACAGGAAGTTCTGAGGTTGCCCAAACAGGTGATATTCTCCATCAATTTAAGTCCACCATGATTGAACTGACGTTCCAAAACACAGTGACAATTTCTTTTGTTTTCTCTCGCATTAGGAAGCCATGGTCAGTGCATGGGTCCAGTTCAGTGATGGCAGCCAGACACCTCTTGACATTTACGATCCTGCCTCTTACCGTGTGACGGTGTCATCCCTGGATCAGGGCGTGGTGTCAGTGCGTGGCGCCCCTCCAGCCGTGGTGGCAGAGGGAGAGGGCGAAGGAGTTCTGGTCCGGGTGGAAATGTCTATCTGTGAGGCCTGCCAGAAGTCCAAACGGAAAAGCACCGTAGCTGTGGGCAATGGCAATCTCAAGGTCAAGTTTCAGGTGAAAAGTCGACGACCAGACAAAACCATCGAAAAAAAGAATGACGGTGTGGACTTCAGAAATGACGGGGAGGAGATTGACAGGAAGCAAAGGAGACCATCAGAGGTTCCTTCTCCACACATCACAACAGTGACGAGAGATGAGAGCCCCTTGGCAAAGACCACAATCAAATCTCCAGAGGGAACGTTCATGACCAGCGGCAGCCTCGGGGGCGTGGGGAAACCAAGCACTTCAGGAAGCAGCCCCACCAGCGCGGTCAATATCAGTATGATGAGCAGCCCCGGCGACGGCGGTAAAGCGTCTGGCTCTGACAATACGATAGTGGACAGTGTTCGTTTCACAAGTACTGTCAAGGCTCCCGGTAACCTGGTCAACTCCAATAATTTCCCCACTAAAATTCTTGCGCCTGGACAAGAGTCAGTGGAGGTGGAGATCAGCGGAGAGGAAGATATGTTGACAAACAGACCCCTGACAGACTTAGAGATTGGGATGTATGCTCTCCTGGGGGTCTTTTGCCTGGCCATCCTGGTATTTCTTGTAAATTGCATATCATATGTTGTAAAGTTCAGACAAAAGAAGTCTCCGTCACATGGCCAGGAGCACACAGGTCATCGGCATGACTGGGTGTGGCTTGGTACGGACGCTGAACTCGTGATGAGCGTCCCGGGAAGTCCCGTTCAACAAGACTCGCAGACTATGACCACTGTGATAGACATTGGGCCTGATAAAACCGCCTCACTGTCCAGAAGCCCCAGTTGCCTGGCATCGGTCACAGACTCTCCAATTAGCTGCGTGGGCGCCTTCAGGAGCAAAGCATTGCCCCCAGATTCCCTCCACTCACCAACCAGCAAGAGGAAGCGAGTCCACTTCACCACCTTTTCCACATTGGAGTACCAGCATTCGCCGCAGCTCTCACAAAGGGAGAATGGACACGGCATCCACTGGGTTGGGAAGGAAGAGTGTTGTGACGAGGGACCCCAAGTGCCCATTACAGAGCCCAGGGACAGTGGACAATAGTGAGTCTGATCAGATTTCACATTGCAAATAATGTGGCTTTGATCACCTCAATGCCTTTGTTGACGCTCTGTCACAAACACGGATGGGATGAAAATAAACACCAACCCTGTTCATAACCTGTCAAGGCCTTTTTAGGTGTACTGTACACATACTGTATCATATTGTTCATAATAAAGAAATGAGTCCATGTCCTACTTGACACGATAATAAGCCACCAAATGCTATGCTGCATGTGGATATCCAATTCTTCAAATGTTTGCACTTCCTGATGACAAACCGACATTACAGACATTGAAGAGCTTATAAAATGCAATACTGAAATACAGAGCCCACATGGGTTTTAAATCCATGATAGTCACACATAGTGCTTATCTATTAAGCAACAGACGAGGCTTTTTTTTTTGTGGGTGTTATTTGGTGTTTAGTTACCCAGGATAAATTTGAATGTATTTGGATATTTTTTTTACCCGATTCTTACCGAAGTTCTTTTAATAATCAGCGTTTTGCAAAATATGAAAATTGTTGCAAGTGTTCATGTTGACACTCAAATTAAGCCGTATGGAAGTGTTCCTCATGTGCAAATGTTCCCATGTATTTGATCTGAGATGCCACTCCATGAGTAAGAAATGCAACCCAATCTAGGTCATGTCAAAAGTAAAAATGTAGATTAATACTTGTGCAGGTGAATCCAAAATGTGACTTTTTAACTGGCAGTGTCAAGATTTGTTCAGAAAAACAAAACAGGTGCTTATATTAAACGGTGTACGATGATTTGGAACGTCAATATCTTTGCAGCTGCAACCAAAGCAATATGCGATGTCAAAGCAAATGTTTCCCATGTACTTTTCGAAAATGAGTCCTTGTGACCCTTTAAACAGGCGCCTTTTGCACTTCATCAAACAAAAAGCGCAAACAAAATAAAACCCGGACTAAGCTATGTCTACCCTTCAATTGAAATAAAGAGACAGAGAGGGCAGTACACCAACATTTTATGTATTAAATTTGAATAAATAGTGCAATTTCAAAAGTACAAAGCATATTACTTTTGCAACCATTTTTGCTGTTGTATTGCCTCACAGTTATCCCTTTGATCCAAGCACCAATAAAAAAAACAAAAAACAAAAACATTTTGCTACATGTTTACAGTACGTTGATATAAAATACAGCAGTGTTTAATGCGAATATATCCACCAATGAAATATGTACATCTTGCAAATCCAGTCACATCACCTGTTTAAGAATCTTTACACAATGGGATGACATGCAAACGAGACCGAAAACAAAACAAAAAAAAATCCCCAGTAGCTACCAAAACTCCAACAAAAATATTTGTGCTTGTGTAGACAAGGACAGAGTAAACATTTTTGAGTTGAGAGACGTGGCCTCAGTGCAGCGTGTCCATCAACCTCAGGTAGGTTTCTCTCTCCTGCTTCAGGCTGTGATGCTTCACCACGTAGACTTTTCCATTCCTTATCAGTCTCGCTCTCAGCTCATGATCTGACAACAGCCTCTGAGACTGATGTACAAATTCCTGGCAGGGATAAAGGCAAAATGAATCTCATTTATCGCCAATGGCCACTTGAGGCCTGCCATTGAAGTTGTCTGAAGAGGTTTTTAAAGCACAAAGCCATATTACGAAGCATGTGAGTAGAATGCAGATAAAAGTATTTGCGTTGATAAATAAATGCTTCAAAAGGATGGAGCTATTTGTAGTTCCAGGACCAAATCAAGACCGGTGGACTTTTTCAGTTTATCCTATAATGGCTGTCACTTCTAACTTTCTAATGAAGAATAGAAAAAAAAAAACAAACTGAGAACTTGGAAGACCATTAGCCACCATCTGTCACAAAGACCTGCTGGGTGGGAGAGTAGTATAAAAATTAGACCAATTAAAGCATGATCAATGCTTAGTGAAGGCACCGTTACTTGACATATGGTGTATCCACACTGCATTCTATGGCCCTAATGGCTCAGCAGACTGAGGAAACACTCCAGCTCAGCCCATCTCTGCTCACGTGAGGCTATGCCCTACCCACAGCCACCGCCCGTTGAGAGGACTTAATCCCCCCCGCTGCTAACAAAGAGTGATCTCTGGCCCTGTTATATTCCAATTTCAAATTCCTGTGACTTGTGTTACTCTATTTTCCAAACCCAATTTAGCTCTGGTTTGTCTGTAGGAATAAGACATTGAAGTACAGAGGGAGTTAAAATGGTTGAAGCTAATGAAGCCGCTGTTAGGATGCATCTTTGGAAAGAAAGGGACATGCTCATTTCCAGTTGGTGGTTTAATGATGCCTGTTAGTGGTCAATATTTTGTGGGATAGCTGCAGTAGCTTTTTGGCCAAAGCCTTGCAGTACAAATTCAAAGCATCCTATCAAGCTTAACGTAGTATCAGAGCATGTGTTAGTGCTTCGGCTGCCTACCTGAGGGGAAGAATATAGCAGACCCGTGACCTCATGTTGTACCACAGCTTTATTTCCTGGAATGTCCCTGGCCACCACAGGTAGCCCCAGATCCATTGCCTGTCAGAGGATGAGGCAATTACATTCTCTAGTCATAGACGAGTGGACACGGCGCAAGGCATTTCAATCTTCCTCACCGGCACATTACGGTGTGTTGTAATTGGTGGCTTATTTCTGTCGCTGAGCAGGGGAATCAGCAAAGTAAAACTAGAAACGACTGCACAAATATTACATTCATCCAAAACAAAACATCTTTTGTTTACTGTGAGAGAGGAGTCACAATTTGCAAATCATTTGCTAGTTGACAAAATGTAATATATGACTCACACACAGTTCTGGTCAGAAGGAGAAGCTCCCTCATCATCGACATGAATGCCATCTTGAATTGGGGCTTTTGATGATTGATTTACTTCTTTGCAATGATTATAGAGCATAGGAGAGACTGGGGTAAATTGAGCCACCCCCGTTGTTTTTAAGAAACCATTCCCCAAAATTTGAGCATGTGACTAAATGTTTAGGGCAGCGGTCACCAACCTTTTTGTAACGGAGACCTATTTCTTGGGTACTCACTATGACAAAAGGACTACCCGTTTGATATACCCTTCAGAAATCAATGTTCTCAAATTACATGTAATAATGTATGTATCTCTCTCTCTATTTTTTTACACATACACAAATTTAAAACCTAAATCTTGTTTGAAAAACTAATTGAAAATGTATGTTGTAAATTCTCGCGCAAAAAGTAAATCGTCATTACAAGCCCCAAATTTATATGACATTCTAGCCCATTATAAGTGACTGTTCCAACGAGAACATTGGAATAACTAAATCGTCATGAAACAGCACCGTCATGAAAAGCTGCAGCGCTATCAAAAAACTTCATGCACGGTGAAATAAAATGTTTCTCTGCTCTTGTCACACACGGATGCTTGTGTGAGTGAGAGGCACCATTTTGCAGTGGCCTCGAGGCAGAGTTCAATAAGCTTTTCGTCCGCCTGCCGAGAAAGTACGTACGTAAGGAAAGTTAAAATGGTTGCTCCAAATGCTAATCTGCACAGTGCGCAGTCGGCATTAAATGCAGCAGTGTCACACAAAGGTGAGACATTGTCCAGGTTATACCATGAAAAAGTTTGAAGCAATCGTGATTGTCCCGAAACTAAAAGTGGAACAATTCCATCTATCCAACATAATCTTTTTTTTTTAAATTGTGTCTGACAGAGGCTTTGTTCCTCCATCCTAAATGCAGTGTCGTGCTACTACATTTGAATCAGATGACATTTAAACAGCATAACTTAAATATGAGTGCATGAGATTTTGGGGACAATCACTCCCCTTCAGAATTAACAATCTGTGGCAGCTCATGCCTTCAGCAGATTGTTGAGACAAACACACGAAGGTAGTAATCCAACTTTAAGACTACAATGAAGTGTCCTAAGTGTTTCGAAGGGATAAAGTGGATTTGCCAGTCTTGCTTAATCACCCTCCGGTAAGTTTTCATTATGCATTATGAAATGTTTGACGATGTTTTAATTGCGATGATGTGACTTGAGGCCAGAAGATGTTTACCTCCAAGATGGCTGCTGACATGCCTTCTGAGACTGAACTGTTGACGACAGCAAAGCACCTTTTCATGGCGGCGTGGAGCTCCGGCCGGCTCCTCTCCCGGGCTAAGAAGACCCCCGCTGTTCTGTAGAAGCGGTGACAAAGCTCAGGACTGGCGTGACTCAGGGCTCACAAAGGCGTGAATGATGGTGAGCAGCATCAACAAGCTTCGGGCAAGAAACACGGCTGCACTACTTGTGAGGTGAACATTGAGTTCAGGTGAAGTCCGAACCAAAGAGCACCAACTTTGTGGTGGTGAAATCCCACCGCCCAAAAACAGAAAGATCATGAAATGGGAGTAGGTGAAAAAGAGATTTGCATTCACTTCAGTTTCCTTTTAGATAATGAAGGTCATCTGACGTTTTGCTGCATATGCGGCCAAACATTTTGGGAGGAACAAAGCAACTTCATGAGCCGTTTCCTAAGTCCCAAGGTCTTTTATCGAGTGTGCAACTGACGATGAAAATTAAATAGCCACTTACCTCTTCACAACAGCTTCGACTTCATCAGTAAACACAGTATCGATCTGGGAAAGAGAAAAGCTTCACAATCATTAAGAGTGCAAGGGGGGACAACATCAACAATGACACAAAGACATCTACAGAAAGCAAATCATTTTCGGAAAATCCGGTCTTTTTCAGAGATTGGGGTCAGGGTAGGGTGGATGGCCAATGTGATTAATTGCAATGTGGGATTTGCGTGCATTAGCTTAACCTCAGAAAAAAAAGTCACATATCAATTTGGGTCAAAGATGTTGCCAAGCAAGCTTTTTCATTATAGCACAAGCCAGGTTTAATTAAATCGAAACAGAAGTGTAACATTTAAGAGGTGGAGTCAAGAGGAGCTCCGGCAGAAATTACAGCATAGTAATGGAAGAATTATCAACTATTTTATGTGACTGCAACAAATAAAGGATCATGCTGAAAACATTTTTTTCCACACAACAGTGTAGGAGGAGCATGGAGTTTGTGTGGCAGTGACAGAGGAGTGAGATGTGTCATCAGTGACAAACTGATCTGAATTCTCCTCCTGTGGATTTATATGGAGCACCACGACAGCTTGAGCAAAGTAAGTCTCACTTGGGCGGTCACAAGTCTTTTTTTTTTTTTTTTTTAAGATGCCACTTTGATTTTATTATGCGGGTTGACAAATGCCTATTTGGACTACTGCGAGAGCGCAGAACAATTGTGGCCCAAAGTGGCAATCATACAAACAAATGTTGCTTTCCATAAAATGTATACCTTTTCATTTCTCATAGAAACAACCAAACCTTGCACTGTGATTCAGGCATGTTGAGATGAATCATACATCTCTGCTTCAGCTGAATCATTTCATCAAAGGAGAACACAGAGGCGAATGTTGCGGCAGGAGACAGAGGATAAGCCCTTGGCCATGTCTAATGATGTTGTTTTCAAGAAGCAAAACATAACTTTTACTTGACAAGACCGCTCAAAATGGAGAACAATCGCAGATATAATACTGCGCAATGATGTCATATCAAATCAAAAGCAATTCGGGAGGAGGTGAAGATACAGTGAAAAAAATATCAATTTATGAGGCACAGAGAATAAAACGGGAGTTTAAGTGGCTGCTGCTTTCTGTGGCTGCAAGACTTTGTGACTTCACAAATCAGGAGACTAACATTACTGGGCTATCCATGTTTGTACAGCGAGCCATTTAATGTTTGACATGAAGGAAAAATAAAATACAAAGGATAGAAGAGAAACGATTTGTGAGACAGGGAAAGAGGTGGTGATTTATGTCATATTACATGTCAGTGCATGTGAAGATCCAGGCTCATCCATCCGTACATTCAAAAAGCAAAAAGACAGAGCCCTATTGTATACAGTACAGGGCTAGTTAGGTAAGTGCTCATCTGAAATATTCAATAAGCAGATGGCAGTTTGACACAACAGGGAATTGCCTGATGACTCTCAGCCCGTTTGAAGAAAACGTATGCTCAGTGCGGATTTCATTCATCCGTCCGTTATGCAAGCCGCTTATGCTCACGAGGGTTGCGGGCGGGCTGGAGCCTTTCCGAGCTGACTTCAAGGAGTAGGCGGGGTACACCCTGAACTGGTTGCCAGCCAATCGCAGAGCACACATAGACGAACAACCATTGACACTCACAATCACACCTCGGGACAATTTAGAGTGTTCCATAAACCTGTTGTGCGTGTTTTTGGAATGTGGGAGGAAACCGGAGTACCCGGAGAAAAACCACACAGGCATGGGGAGAGCATGCAAAAGTCCACATAGGAAGGCCAGAGCCCCAAATCGAACTCTGCATTGTGAGGCCGACGTGCTAAGCAGTCGACCACCATATGTGTGTGTGTGTGTGTATGTGTGTGTGTGTATGGGTGTGTGTGTGAATGAATGATGCAGATATGCCAACTAGTCGACCACCGTGCCACTGCGCTGAATACATTTGCAACAAAATATTTAAAGTAATATCTCTACGAGCCAGTATGTCCTGTTAGCAGCTGATGGCTATGTGAACGACTGGTAGCAACAATATACAGTCATGATACAAAGCGAAAGAGGAAAAACAGACAATTTAAGCCAATGTACTTACCTTTGGACCAATTATAACAAGCACATTCTGAGGATTCTCACTATGCCACTCTGTAAGACAAAAAAAAAAAAAAAAAAAACAGGCAATGAGGCAATTTGAAGAGAGGGATAACGACACCTTAATCTTTCTGTTCTGTTGTTGTGTCATCGCAATATGAGAAAAATTGAAATAAAATGTGGCGCCTCCGCAGTGTCAATGAAGTTAATTCAAATAAAAGAGTAAGAGTGTCTGATTTTGAAAAAGTGGTAATTCTCTCTTATGTACAGCTTCAAGAAAATGCCAAGAGGAAAATGCGCATTCAACAATCTCAATGATGAGCTGTCAGAAAAGGCTGTCTGCTCGTTGACATACATTTCCAATTTGATGATACTTAACCATCGATTGAGGACCGTCATTAATGCATACGGGCATTGCTTTAGCTTCAAGTTAGAAGAGAAACAGTCACGAAAAACTTAGCAATTTAGGGGTTTCTGAAACCAAGATTACAAACAAGAACAGCAATGAAACTCATTCCTTTTAGTTGAATGAATGTGGTGCCATTATTTAGACCTCCGTCTAAATAATGGCAAGCAGGTTTCAGTGTATGATGTACCTGAGAAACGCTCCACTAAATAGAGAGGGTCCTTGACTCTTCTGAGGCCACAGATCAACAGGAAAACGCGGAGCCGTTGCACATGCACACCACTTACATCTGGAAAGAGGCCAGACACAGAACGACAGTGCTAAAATAACAAAACACTGCATAATGAACATCCAAAGTACTGGTAGGTAATGAAAGTGATGCATCACCCAAGGTCACGATGAAAATAAGACAGCAGTGACTAATGTGTTTGCGCAATTCCCTGATCAGAGTCGTAATGCTCAGCAGGGAAATTGGGAGACACCGAAAGGCCGTGGCCTAATCATTCTAAGTCATAACTACACAGCCACCGCGTGGCAGGGTCAAGAGCAGCCTTGAATTGCTGGAAAAGAAGTAATGATGTCGAATTGTTTGAGGAAACTACTGAGTCAGCGCTTTGCCCAATGTGCCCGATGTTGGATGAAATCCAGAGATTACAGCCCAGCTGGAGAACAATGCCAATGACTACTGTTCAGCCGCTGACCTTCAAAAGGCGTAAATCCTTAGAACACTACCACACAGGCTGATTAGTATTAGTAACACGTGCATGCACGAAAACACACACACACCTGAATTACACTACCTTGCATGGACTTAGTGAATATTCGAAAAAGTTGTTTTCATAGTTTTGTGTTGGAGGAAGCTGTCATGCAGTAAGACTTTGCACACTAAAAGAACCCTTTGCCATGTTTTTCTAAACTATTCTTTGAAATGTTCGATTACTATTCAACTTTGTCAGAAATAAGTCCAGGATGGATATACTGTAGGGAGGTGACATGACATGAACTTGGTTGTTGTGGTTTGGTTCATTGCAACAATAATTTGCAAATGCAAGCTGATTGTGTATCGGGTAGATGAATGGCTACCTATCGACAATGGAAAGTGTTATTTCCTCTGATGCTGCGAAGAGCGCACTGTAAACAAACCACCCTCCGATAGCACAAACACACACATGCACGTTAAAAGTACCGTGATAGGAGAAATCCCCTGCTGTCAGTTAAGTCCAGATCAGGAGGCTGAGGCACTTCTTTAAAGCTCTTAAAGAGGATCTAAACGTGACAGCGTGGAGTCTGGGCATTGACCCTGATCCCTGGAGCCTATTGTCAGTGTAGTGCCTCATTCTCTTGAAAGTCCTTGCAGTGAGTTGTATGATGCAAAAGGACATTATCTCAGGTTAACGCCCAAATGCTAACAATTGAACAAGGTACAATAACATTACTCAGGTGAGGCAATTAAGGATAGATTGCAATGGAAACCTGGCTGCAGACAGAAAAAAAAGCAACAAAAAATAAATACAGTGATCCCTCGCTATTTCGCGGTTTGTTTATCGCGGCTCAGTGCATCGCGGATTTTTTCAAACATATTCTTTTTTTTTTTAGTCCGCAAAAGCTCCGCGAGAAGCAGCGAAATTCAGCAAAGCAACAGCGAGTCACATAGAGCAACATATACAGTACTACATGTATATGTTTACTGTATTTTGTTATTCATAAACTAACCTAACTTATACATCCTCTTGTTTCTTGTTTTATGTTGAGGAAAGAAATTTGTGCTCTATGTTACACATACAGCACATTTAACAAAGTTGTATCCAATCCAATGTTTAAATCTATTAGTATACAACATTAAGTCATGTTAATTACTTCAAAATTTACTTCTACATGCATGTATACCATTAAATTTGGCCTTATAAATATTATGTACATGTACCTATATGAAGGGGGGGAGGTCGCTACTTCGCGGATTTTCGTTTATCGGGGGTGGTTTCGGTCCTCATTAACCGCGATAAACGAGGGATTACTGTAGTCATACCTCGGTTTTCGATACATAATCCGTTCCAGAAGGCTGTTCAAAAACCGATTTGTTGTTGATAATATTTCCCATTACAATCAATGTAAATAATTTAAATCCGTTCCAAGTCTAGAAAACAACGTTTTAAAAGCATTTTCTAAACTATTTTACACCATAAACTGTATACACATCTCTCATCATGACAATTGTAAATTACATTCTTTTACACCTTGAACTAATAAATCCAAAAGTAATGGCTGTAATTATGGACTCTCTCTCTGCAACCCTGTGCTATGGTACAAGGTAACAAAATCTTTGAAAAAATAAATAGTAGAAATTTTTAATGTGTGTATGTGTGTGTGGAGGGGGGGGGGATCCTTACAGTTCAGTACCTGTAGTAACAGGAAGGTTAATTCTCGAAAGGAGAATCCTCATCCTTAACGTCGGGTAACTCGACTCCAGCATTGTTCTTCGGTTGGGGAGACTCTGCCATAGGTTCTTCCTTCCTTTTCGTAAAGAATCTATCGAGTGTAACTTGTTTCTCCCTTCTTTTGAGAACGTTATGAAAGTGGCTAATAACAATGTCATTAAATGCATACACAGCTCGACTGCTTGCAGCTTTATCTGGATGATACAGGTCCACAAAGTTTTGGATATCATTCCATTTTGCACAAATTTCTTTGATACTAGCAGTAGAGGCATCTTTCCTTCCCCCATCGTCATCGGAAGACATCTCCTTAAACGTCCTCTTCTGCTCTTCCTTAAATTCTTCTGTCGTGATCTCGTCACGATGTTCGACGATTAGCTCCTTGACATCACTTTGTGTGTGGTCTGGAAACGACTGCTCGCATGTGATGTAGGTCCTTCGTGGCATTTTTTCCCCCAAATGTCCAGTCTCGTTCATATTAAAAGTTTGCTGGGGAAAATATTCCTCAACTTTGACAAGATTTTCAAACTCAAAGTTAAACATTTCGGAAGCTTCCTGGTCTGAACTGGCTGCCTCCCCATGACGAATCACGCAGTGTATCCCACTTCTTCTTCTAAACTTTTCGAACCACCCTCTGCTTGCTTTAAAATCAAACTCTTCAGGAACAATGCTAGGATCCTTTTTTATCAACTCGCCATACAATTGTCTTGCTTTGCCACAAATCGCATCTTGGCTAACACTGTCCCCTGTTAGCTGTTTCTCGTTTATGAAAATAAGCAAACGTTTCTCCACTTCCTCTAATACCTGTGGCCTTTGTTTGCTAAGCACACTAGATCCTTTAGCCACATCACTTACTTTCAGAAGTTCTTTCTTTTTTAGGATGCTGCTTATCGTCGATTTCGGCATGCCGAACTCCTTAGCCAACACAGACACACGCACACCGGATTCATATTTCGCTATCAAATCTTTCTTAAATGCAATCGTTGTGCGCACTACTTTCCTCTTTTCTTGACAAGCTTTCCTACTTCCACTTGCTTTCTTTGGTGCCATGATTAGGGTCTAATACACAATGCAGAAATAACAGTCCGATTTGCGTCAATCTCAACAGACAAGTCTGCTCAAAATGAACGCTACACGAGGAAGCCTCACTTCCTTGTCTACACGAAAAAGCGTCACTTCCTCGTGTAAGGAAGCTGAGAGGAGTCCAGTGGAATAGTCATTCAGCTTTGCCTTAGTTTGGTCCAAAACCGATATTTGGTTGGAGTCCAAGGCGTAAAAAATTCGAATCTTCTGGTCGAAAACTAATTTGGTCGAGAACACATACGTTCGAAAACCAAGGTATGACTGTACATATAGCGTACATCAAATTGTACAATGTGATATAGTTAAACCCATTACATTACTTGGCATGATGGATACAAGATTCAGCAGCAGCGATGATGTATGGGTGTCCCTAAGTCATTTTTTTAATTGTCATATTGGGATGAATTAGGTGTGCGTTATTTGTTCTAGAATCTAGAGTGTTCCAGTCGTTTGGGGCAGACAATTGAAAAGAATTTCAGAAGTAGTACTGACTTTGGGAACAAAGAGGTTAATAAAACTACTGGAACGGACAGTGCGGTGGGCGTATTCAAAGTGAGCAAAGATGCGGTGGCGTTTTGCCAAAACACTGGTCCATCGATGAACATGAAGCAGTGAATATGTCTGCGTGCGTGCAGAGAGGGTCAATGAACCATGGAGAACAGCTCACAGTGGTGAGTGTGAAAGGGAGCACCGGTGACAAAGCGGATGGCAGCGTGGTATAGTGTATGGTGCTGAGCGTGTGGAAGACATCTTGTGAAAATGATTTCCACAGTACATCTCCGTAATCTAGGATTGGGATTGGTTAAGGGTTTGAAACGGAGACCTGTCACAATATACAAAATCGTTGCCACAATTCATTTCTCAAGGTATAATTGTAAAAATAGCCCAATATGCCAGACCCCCCACCTCCCCGACACTTTTGTGCAGTTTACTGAGCTCTCTGAAAATTGTTGTTTCTTTGTTTGCCTTTGACTTCAGAGGCATTTTTCTGAACAATCCCCCAGATGCGTTTGACAGAAGATTAGATTCGGTATGTGAGTGCATGAATGTGGTATTCACTTGAATGGCTAAAATTAATCTCTCTCTCGCTCCCACATCATGCAATATGGTTTGCAAGGACTTAAACAATGACACTTTATGTCACAGCAAGAGAGATATTTTGGGCACTGTGGCAATAATAAACTGCCGCAGTTGTCATTGGGTAAAATAGTGAATAATTTGCAGACAACCTTAAGGGTGTGTCTTGGTTTACTGATGCCCATTTCAGCTACCATGAGACCTATCATTGTGTTGGTCTCAAAATTCATAAAACTCAACACTCCATATGGTGACAAATACAGCAAAAAAACACAAATAACTGCTGATATTCCATGTAAATATTTAATGCATCAATATAATGTTGACCATAGAATCTCCTCATCCTGGTTGATGTATGCAATGACCTATATGCTTCCATTATTATTATTTTATTTTTTTTTTTTTTGCGAGGGGTCTGACTGTGTAGCTGTTCACTCTTCTGTGATTTTCTCTCTACGATAGAGAACTACTAATGCACCTGCTGTTTTGCTGTTCATAGTTACATGTGCTCTGCTTTAACGCAGTTCCAGACAAATATCTGTAAAAAGTGCGCCGTACTGCACACCTCTGCACTTATTGTGGCATTTCCTGACTCTACAGTTCACATGAGTTGAACGATTAGCATAACTTCTCCATCTCCTGTTCTTTCATCTAGCTCTGTGTGTCAAATGCTTTGCTGCTCCTCCCGTTAGTTTTGCTGCTCCTCCCGTTAGTCTATTATCAACATGTTTTTTTGTGAACAAACAGTCAAACACGTTTCGATTTCCAGACCAGGAATCACATACAGTACCTACTTATTCAATTCACTTGGTTTCACTATTTTTATCATTTTCCACAAAGGATAGTTTTTGCTCTCTTGCTCTTTGTTGAGGAGTGACGCGGCATTTGCGCCAAAGCATCCCCGACAAAAAAAACATGCACAAATAATGGATGGAGGAGAAAGGGCTCATCTCATTTCTCTCTTCCCAATTTTCGATGGCAGGGGTAGGGAGAGCCATATCCTGCCTGTTTTAGAGCTCTCCCTAATCCAACACACTTGATTCAAATGATCATGACCATTTCAGGCTTCCACAGAGTGCGCTGATGAGCGGGTCGTTTGAATCAGGTGCGCTGGAGTAGGGAGGGATCCGAAACACGCAGGATATGGCTCTCGAGGAACCGGAGTTCCCTACTCCTGTTCTATGGCCTTACGCTTCACTTCTCTGTTTGCATGTTTGTGCCTCAACAGTTCACGTCACAGAAACAGTTCACATAGAATGAGTTGAAGGGAACAGTTTAGAAAAATATATTTTCAAAGAAAAGTGAACAAAAAGTGAGACAGTTACCTGATCTCCGTAAGAATTCAGACCAGCTGAAGTCCTCTGTCGCTTGCGTCTCAATACCTTTTAACAATAATGCGGATAGGAGCAATGTAAATTTCATGAAGCAGTAAAAGTTGAGGTCAGGTATATCTACATGTCTTATTTTACGCTTCATAATTTCAATGGGTCTAGTACGCACACTCTTTTACTAAGTCATGCTGTTGTAAGTAACACATGCAGAATGTTGTTTGCCATTGTCTTACCAAAATAAGCGCGGGCATTAATGAGAACACATTGCTTGGATGGTAGCAATTGTTTTTCCAAAACCTGTATGTACCTCCCAGCATGAATGGTGCCTTCACATATGTGTAAATTACCCATGCCTTTGGCACTGACACAGCGCCACACCATCACAGATGCTGGCTTTTGAACTAGAACGCAGTTGAACCTCAATCCATCTTTGCTTGTGAATGACTGAGCAATTCAGCGAGCCAATTTTTTAAATACCCAATTATAGCACCCACCTGTTCCCAGTTAGCTGTATGTGAGGGACGTGCCAAACAGGTGTTTTATGAGCATTCCTCAAATTTATCAATCTTTTTTGGAACATGTTGCAGCCATAAAAATGTAATGATTATTTTCTAAAAAGCAATACAGTTTATCAGTCTGAACATGAAATATCTTGTCCTTGTAGTCAGTGTATTCAATTGAATCTGGGTTGAACATGTTTGCAAATCTCTGTATTCTGCTTTTATTTATGTTTAACACAATGTCCCAACGTAATTGGAAATGGATTTGCAGTAACAATATAACCATGTTTTTTTGGGGGGGGGGGGCAATCTGTTTGTTAAATTTATTTGTGTCCGTAAATGTGTGAATGACAGGCATTACATTTGTGCACTTTGCAGGTTGACACTTTATGAAGTGCAGCCAAGTTCACATGCATTACTTTATGGGGCCCTGCCAGATCAAGTCATGTATAGCAAATGGTGGACATGCTGACATCCAGAAAAGCAACACAAAAGTGGAGTCTACGTATACATTTCCAAACCGGAATCACATTTTCAATGGTAGCATTTCATAATAAAAGTATACATAAGGTCTAATCTGTCTCATCACTTAAATGCACAACTGAGCTAACCTAGCTATCTTTGTGTCAAAGACTACACTGCGATCTTACCTGCGTCTGACAGATGAAGGTTAACGCAGTGAATGTGTCTCTTATTCTTTAGTTTAAATAACTTAAAATGAATGTTCTTGTAGAGCTTACCTTGTGGCTGGACAAAGATTTTGCTGCTCTGGGAGTGCTTAAGATTGGGTGTTGGGGCCACAGGGAGCAGAACATTTCGGTTAAAATAAGACACTGGCATGATTGTGCATTTTGTTCAGAACACTTTGATTATCACTAAGTACAGTAACTGCTTCATAAATGAGGGACAAGGCAATTATCTTGAACTGTCAAGATTTTCAGACTAAATGCGTACTTCAAAAAGATAAACGCGGGTAGGATAATTTGAATTTCTACATTATAAATCAAGCGTAGATGGAATGCTATCACACTGGATCCACATTTTTTTTTCTGTGACGTAAAATGGGCAAATGTGTGTCCTGTCAACCAATTGCTAGCGCTAAATGACAGATAAAGCATGCCACAAGCCTCAATCTGCAATTCATTGCGAGAATGTAATCAGAAAATAAAACAATGTAATACTGTTTTAATGCCAGATTGGCATGAGATATGCATCCTCTTATCTGTGCAACAAAAGTCTTTCTGTTGTTTTTAATGAAGTAGTCGCTACTGCTGTTTGTTGATGCGCCATAATCGCAACTAAATCAAAATAATTGCATTTTTCTTTCGCAAAATAACGGCTTCTATTGTACTAAATGGGTAGTCTAAAGGTTGACATTTTATCCAAAACAAAGTACCACTTCAGGCATTAATTTTAGTTATATATTTATGTCAGTTGTAACTTTGTGTGCGCATGAAAGATAATGTATACAGACACAAACATCGTTGTGAATAATTTAGCACATGAATAATCACCTTCTAAGAGGGAGATATTTGCAACTGGTTGGCAAAACAAAGGCCTCAGACCTAGCATTGAAGCAATTACTGCACTTGAAATACTGCAGACGGTCAAATGGAATTCAAAAAAGTAAAACCCTACCAAATATAGCTCAGCCTCTTTTTTCAATTTGTCTGTAAATGCAACTGCAAACCTGTTCAAAAACACATTTTCTTGTCACCCTCAACTTTGCAGAAAGCATTTCAGTGAAATACTTGGTCATGAATTTGCATTAAAGGCTTGTATAAGCAGCAACAATTCCAATGGGAGACGAAAAAGAAACAAACAACAATTTTAAAATACTTGATTCGCAAAGTTTTACATAAACCCCAAAACCAATAAACAGAAAAAAAACCCAAATGGTTCCTGTTCTGAATCACAGGTTAAGTAGGTAGGAAAAAGAAATGGAAAAAGAATAGAGAATAAAGAGGCCAGAAGGCTAACAGCTGACTGCATTTGATAACTAAGATTGGAATGTCAGAGGACGAGAAGGTCATTGCAGATATTTTCTACCCATGTATCCTAAACTTTCACAGGCCACTTTGGCTGTTACGACAGATCCCCTCTGTCTGTTTACATTTTAGCAAATTAATAGGGATGATTAACAACGAAAATAAATAAAAATAACAACGATTTTCAATGAACCCTTTCAAGGACAGCGGCTACTACAGTGGGCATCTTATCATGTTATCAGGTTACAGGGTGCATGAAAGAGTTAAACTTATGAAGAGGAAAAAAAAAAGACCTATTTCTAATGCGTCTCTTATCCATTAATTAACAGGGCAATTGCATTCCAGCGCCACAACCCACAGTTTGCAGTGCCTTTCACCTGGTTTTCCCACTTCCTTTTGGCCCACTGAAAACATTGTGTGATGCGTCAAACCAATATGATGAGATTCATAGATTCACTCTAGTACTGATATTCAGCAATATCACCGTGCTTTATGTAGAACTTTTTCCATAACCACACGTCTCGTCTCAACTTTCACATCTTCATTGATGTCTGTTCCACCAAAGATAATGCCAAAGGGTACTTGGATGTCTGTTTTGAAGGTTACACATAAATAGATTTGTTCAGGCAGATATGGGAAACCAAACAGCTTTCCTAATCTTTTTGATGGTTGTCCGGTATGACACAATGGATCGAAAAAGAAACATGCATTTTACCTAGCAGAAGTCTGCCGGCCTTGAATAGATGAATGGCCAGTGCACCTTCAAATTGAGGATTTTGTGAGAGCAGGTTTGCCACGTCAGAAGAAGACTCAAAATCCTCTGCATGTCTGAGCTCACATGTGTGTCCTGCCGATTCAATGTGGGACCTAAAAAATGAGGGGAATTCAATATCTACAATTCCTTGGAAAAAAATAGTTAGTGTTTTGGAACATTAAGACAATTCTGATACTTAAGAAATGCCAAGTTAATGCAAAATTAAGTATATAACTGATTTTATGAAGGAAAAGCCCAAACCTGATTTCCCTCCTTGTTAAATCATGAGTTAATGGCAATTAACTGCAGTTTTTGGGGAAAAGGTGTTCAATTTTACTGGCCACATCAAGGTTTGAGTATGGCCCGATTTTTTTTAAAAATCAAGAAATCACTTACATAGAACGTGTCACACAAAGTGAAGTAAGCTACAAGATCTAAAAAAAATAATACATCATGTAAAGAGACATCAATTCAAAGAGAAAAAAAATTGGCATACTCAAGACTTATGGAAAATTATGCTGTGGACTAGGTGAAAGTTCAACATTTGCATGGTGTGCAGCCCATGACAGTACATCTGGCATTAAAACAACACAGCATGTGATAAAAACAACGCCCAAACATAATGGTGTGATTGCCTGGGGTTGCTTTGCTCACTGAGGATCCGGATGACTGGCTGAAATTAATGGATAAATAAATTCAGCTGTCTATCAGAAAATCCTACAGGTGAACGTCATGCCATCAGTTTGTGTCCTGACGTTCACCCAAAACATACCAAAAAGTCCACCTCTGAATGGCTTAAATATATTTAACCCGAAACATACCAAAAAGTCCACCTCTGAATTGCTTAAATGTATTTCTGATGCTGTGTTAGGACATTCAAAAGAGGGAAATAATTCTGAAAGAAGGAAATTCCTCAACGATGATGCAAGAGACTCATCACCAGTTATCGCAAACACTTGAATGTTGTTATTGCACAACCAGTTTAGAGCTGATGGTTCATTTTGCTGTTCACTTCACAGTTATGAGACTGTTTGTGAAGGTCTGCCACATAAAATCCCTACACTAAAAATATACTTAGGTTTGACGTTATAAGACGACAACAACATGTGGAAAAGTTCATGGAGCATGTTTCCATTTGCCAGCCACTGTAGGCTACGTCACTACAGTAAAACACAAGGCTAATTTCAACTACACTTATTTCGCTGAAGAGGTCAAAATCGGAACCCTAAGAAGGAGCAGCAGTGTGGAAAAACCAAAACTAGAACTTGAACAGGCATGGATGCTGCCCGTGTTAACGATTAACTCCTGAGTTCTGCCCTGTTGCTTACTACTGTCTCACCTGAATTATAAATGCCAAGACCGGAAAGATGTAACTACTATAAGGGGTAAATTACCTGATTCGCTCGGCTGTGGTACGGTTCCCTGATTTGGGTTCGAGACAAGCGAGAAAAAGTAAATTCATTTTTTTCCCAATAATGGACTAGTATATACGGATATGCGTCAGTAAATATGAGGACACCCTGTGCGTGCTATTACGACAGACTAGGAAGACTGCTCAAACACATTTCCCGGAGGCTTGCTCATTACTTGGGAATTTACTTAGACTGTTTACGTGTCCGTCTCCATTATGGTTCCCTGGAAACGCATAGCTTTGGAACCATCTTACTGGCTGCGCAAAATGTGATTTTAGCCCCTTGAAAACTGAACACGACAACGACTCGGGTAACAAACATTTGAACCAGCACATGCTCTACGCTTCTCGCAAGTTTATCGCAACCGTAAAGAGGGCGACATGAAAAACGTGTCAGCGTGTAGACTTCCAAGTTCCACTTCCCCCTTTCGATTTTGTGGCGTCAGACGCGTATTAGCAGATGTACAAACGACGTGGATGTACCAGCTCGCACATGGGACAGCGTAACAATTGTATTGTAAATCGCTTCTGGAACCACGCGCAAATCCGACAGCTTGTTGACCTGAGTGTCACGCGGTAGTGCTGTGACACTTTAGGCGACTTCCAGTTCTCCATTGACAAAGTAAACGTTTGCGGGATAAACAACCTAAAGATTCATGGAGATAACCCACGCGTTGGACGCGTGTCAGGAATATTGACGGTAATGTATACCTAAACTCGGATCGAACTGTCAGTATGCTAGTTAGGACGACTGTTACGTGCCAACATTAATGTGTTATAACCATGTTGTGTGTTTCTCTGAACTAGACTGTTGGTTTCGATATTTTAATGTCGATGCTTTTTAACAGATTCCAGTAGATTTGATCACTGTTAAAATCCCGCGTACTTACATGTACTCTTCGTTGCAGGACTGAACTCTTTATGTAAGGACGCGGTCAGTTCACGAGACGATGGCTATCAACAAGCATATCAACGAGAGCACCCCTCTCTTGGACTCGGATAATGAGACGAATGGGAGAACATCACCCCCATCAGTTTTCCAGGGAAGAAGACTTGCATGTGCTGCGATCTTGCTGGCGGAGTCATTGGAAAGGATTGCATTCTATGGCATTACATCCAACCTTGTTCTCTTTTTAAATAGCAGTCCTTTCTATTGGGAAGGCACACAAGCCAGCCAGGCTCCTCTGATGTTCATGGGGGTAACGTACCTGATATCCCCATTTGGAGGGTGGTTGGCAGATGCATACCTTGGAAAGTTTTGCACTATTGCCTGGAGTTTGATTTTGTATTTTCTCGGTATTCTATTTTTCCCTTTCATTTCAAACGAAGACACCAGAGTAAATGTATGTGGTGAAGAAGCAGCATTTCCAGTGCAACCCGCTGAGTGTCTCAGCACAAACAGTACCCCTCCAAGCAATGTGACGTGCCCCATCCGTTCACCCTATTGTGGCCCTATAGTTTACAGTGGACTTTTTTTCATTGCATTGGGTGTAGGGACTGTCAAGTCAAACATCACTCCATTTGGGGCAGACCAGGTATTGTATGAAAAGCATTGCATTGTGATTTTAACTGTTAAATCAAGAATGCTAATACCAATCCCATCGCTCTAACGTCTCGAAGTGTGGTCAGTCTTTTGACATGGGCCTGCATAATTGAGAATGCAGTCAGACCGAGTGTTGTCAGACATGTGATTTACTTTATCTTTGCCATGAGGGTTCACTTAGACAAGCACCTCCTTCAATGTCACAGCCAATTATTTGTATTTTTCTCACACACACACACACACACACACACACACACAAAGTACTTAAACACAGTGGTCTCCAACCTTTTTTGTGTCAGACCAATTGAGACAAGTACATGCCGTTCGTTTTCTTCATTGCTTTTAAATTGCTAGTTTTAAAGCACCGGTACTGACAACAAAGATTATGATAACGTTATTAAACTTTTTATTAACATCGGGTTTTTTTTCATTCATTTCAAACGGTATTATTCTACTATATAAAACATGTAGAATAAAACAAAATAAAGCAGTGAACTACTAAGAAATGGACCAATCAGGAAAAATAAATATTCTTTATTATAGAAACAAAATCATTTTTTAAGTTATGATCTTACCTACAGCATCAGCATCATTGCTACTTGCAAATGTGACTGATCAAGAGATGACATGATTAATGACTGTTTTTCCACTGGCTGCCGGCTAGCTCGTAGCGACGAAACTGCTAATAAACTGCGGACCGGTGGTTGGGCACCCCTGCTTTAACATATAGACAATAAAAAGTGAATCATGGGTGGAAAAACTGTACTGCACAGATGCATGCAAATGTTAACAAAAACAACAAAAACAGTCATTGTTTTTCTCAACAAAATCACACTAGCCTGAGCAAACATTTTCACAAGAGGGCTGATATCACTACCTCAGGGAGCATCCTATGCTCATTACATGGTTCTGACTTTTGTGACAATGCTTTTGATCATGAACCAACACACTGTTCAAATAGGACAGGGAAACAAGAGGAAAAGCAGAAATAAATAGAGCTTCGGTTTCACAACAATCAAAACATAACAGTACACAGAGCAGATCAGTCAGACATTTGTGTTTAAATGATTAACAGATTAAAAAATATATATCTATATTGTACTTGTTTTGTTTAAGATGTACTTGAGTGAAAAAGCAAATGTAGATCTCTTACCTTCTGTCTAATCAGTGGAGCTGTAAGTACATGATTCTTATTTTTCATGTTTACCACCATCTTTAATTGGTGGCAGGACAATTCATTGAAATTTGGCTTCTCCACATTTTTACAATGTTGGAATCAAAGAAACACGATTTAATGTGCAGAATGTCGTGGTGCGTTTTTGAGTTCCCAACGCTGTGAAAGTAACCAGAAATGCAGCCTGGCACTTGCATAGCGAGCGTTTAGCGTGTGTGATTCTGCCGTCCATCGTATGCCTTAAGCTTTTTAGTGACACCCTAGTTGGATTTTAATGTAAAACTAAACACACAACAAACAGAATTACAGACATTGCATTTTTAAATCCAACACATGCGTTGTTTTTTAAAACATCGCTTACGGTTATGCTAAAGTCAATTTAAAATCCCGTTGCAATGCGAATGCAAAATTAATATTGACTTCTCGAATGATATTGCTTCAAATAATGAATATTCACAAACGCTGTAGAAACATATACACTTTTACACAAAGACAATCTACCACTATTCAAGGCCCAAATTCTTCCCAATTTGTGAAAAGCGAGTTTTGATCAATCGCTACTACTCATTTTACTGGATGCACGGCACCACCCTGCCCCTAAGAAGCTAATGTGCCAAAACAGCTGGCATTTTTGTGATTTTTTTTAAAAATTGCTATTATTTTAGTTTAAGCTTATTTTACTTTCATACTTATTTTATTGTTGTCCTCTCAAGTACTTTGAAAAAATATTTTCAAGAAATTTTATCTTCCTCAAAATTCAAGGGTACAAAGATATAAGGACTTTTTGCTGTTTAACCAGCTTAAAATTCCTCATGCAATAGCTTGAAATATGACACACGAGGTCCCGGGATAACCCAGTAAGGCGCAAGACTTGTGAAAATAAACTTACATAAGATAGTAGAAGTAAATATGGTAAAGAGATAAGAGAGATGCTTGTTCATGGCCGGAATGTGTGCAGAGGTGCGATGCATCAAAGGTGTGGATGTAGCAGAATGAAAATGCAAGAGGCTTGAATTTCACATGATAGATGATACACGATCATTTTTCTACTCGAAAAAAGAATCGAGAGTTCAAGAATAAAGTGTTCATTGTTCAGGGATGAATGGGCATGAGGCTGTGATGATAGTTTTACAAATAGGTTTTATTTGTTGAATAAGTATCAAGTTTTGAAGTCAACTGCCAATTGTTTCTATTAATGGTGATTTCAATCTCAATCAAAATAACAACCTCCGTGAAGGTAACACACTTCCCACCACCTCCAAATTCGAAGTTGTAGGTATTACAAGACTGATTCCATTGTCGTGAAATGAAGTGAATTTTGAAAATCCACATGAAACCAGCAATGGAACTTCAGAAGTTAATTGTCGCCGTGAACCACTGTCACTTGTTTTTCCTCCTATACATCACATATCGATAATATCTGTTTGTTTCCTCCATATGTGGGTAACCGCTGTCACGAGAATATTATTATTTGCCTGTAAATTGAACTCAATGTTCTGTATTCTTTTGCTGATTATGTTGTCATCAAGAGCTGTCAGAATTAAATGATCAATAGACAACTACCGGTAATCAATTATCATATTAATCGACAACTATTTTTAGAATTGAGGAATCGCTAAGAGCCATTGTTTAACGTAAAATTGTCCATATCCTGTGATTTCAGCTTCTCAACTATAATCATTCTCTTGATTTCCATCATCCTTCATTAAAGCTGACTGATTATCTTTTGTGATTTATCAAAATTAGACATTAGCAAATATCTGCTTTGGAAAATTCTGACCGAACCAGTGCTAATCAATTTCACAAAGGTTGGTGAGGATAACATTAAATTCCTATCTGTGATATTGCTTCATTGTTTAGTTTTTTTTAAATCACTAAACAATACAAACTAACAATTACTTGTGAATAAACTTGGATGCAATATAAAATGTAAACCAATGAATTGACAGAATAATTGATAGAGCACTCGATGAAAACAATATTTGATAGTGACAGCCGAAATATCACCATCTACCTTAACATCTCACTGCTCAAAATAAACCCAATGTGTCAAGACAGCAAAGGTGATTAAGCTGTTAAACATTCTGGATGTATCTTGAGTACAATAAGGACATTAAGGTTCTTTTTTGTTCAGTAATAGGTAATATGCTGTAGATGTTTGTTGCTCTTTCTTTGCTCTGTGAAATAATTGCCAAAAGTTGACTTGTGTTCAACTTGGACAGTTTGATTTATTAGAGGACACGAGCGGTTCTATGAGGTGGCTTTATGATTTATTAAGCCCAGTGTATCATATGTGTAAGAATGATGCTTTGTTTTTGTTGTCTAATAGGTCAAAGACAGAGGACCGGAAGCCACACGCCGATTCTTCAATTGGTTCTACTGGTGCATTAACCTCGGTGCCATCCTGTCACTGGGAGGTGTAGCCTATATCCAGCAAAATTTCAGCTTTGAGCTCGGCTACATCATTCCCACTGTGTGCCTTGGGATTTCCTTCCTCGTTTTCCTCCTGGGCCGCACAGTTTTTATCACCAAGCCGGCTGATGGCAGCGCTTTCACCGATATGTTCAAGATACTGAGCTTCGCTTGTTGCTCCTCAAAACCCAAGGAGCCTGACTTGCTTCGGTAATACGTCCATCACACTTGTCTACTTTGTAATATTGAAGCTTAACATAATAGCATCCTCATCAAAAATTAGAGTGCTGTGTCAAATGACTACAGTGGAGAAGTATTATCAGCTAACGTCTATGCACATGAAAGTGTTTCTTTAGAATAATGTGCGGTTAGACCTATTGCTCATTTGATCCTGATGTATTTCTTCTGTAGTTGAGGTCCGTCTTCCTCTGCTCGAGTGCAGTGTTGTTCTGCTGTGCGTCTAAAAACTAATGAACAATTTAAAACTGAAATGTCCAAAAACCTGACGTCGCATCTGAAATACCAAATCCCAGTGCCTTTAACGAAAACCCGGTTAAGCCTTTTGTCCTGAGGTGGTGATTAGAGGCTTTATTGCCTCAAGTTTCTTTTCCATCTCTAAAAGCACTCTTATTTGAGGGTAAGATACTCTCAAAGGCAGAACAATCTTCTCCCTTCATGATTTTGAATACCTTAATTCATTTTTAATTACAAACCCCAATTCCAAGTTGAAGTTGGGACATTGTGAAAAACGTCCATTAAAAACAAGACGGTGATTTTCAAATCCTTTTCAACCTTTGTTCAATTAAACACAGTAAAAGGCAGGATATTTTTCAAACTGAATAGCTCTTATTTTTATTTTATGTTTTTGGGAAGGAGGGTGAGATACACTCTTTTTATGCCTGCAGCTAAATCTAAAAAAGATGGGGCAGGCTCATGTTTACCATTGTCTTACATCACCTTTCCTTTTAACAACACTCAATGAGAGTTTGGGAAGTGAAGACCCTAATTGTTGGTGCTTTGTAGGTGGAATTCTTGGCCATTTTTGCTTGATGTACAACTTGAGTTGCTCAAAAGTCCGCTGTCTCCATTGTCGTATTTTGCACTAAGTGGTTCAGATAATGGACGGATGGATAATGTGCCACACATTTTTGGACTGCAGCTTGGCCAGTCTAGTACCCACCCTCTTTTATGACGAAACCACACTGTTAGAATGTGGTCTGGCATCGTCTTGCTGAAATAAGCGGGGGTGTTCATGAAAAAAACATTTCTTGAATGGCATACATATATGTCTCCAAAACCCATATGTGCCTTTTAGAGTTAATGGTGCCTTCACTGATGTGAGAGTTACCCACACCATTGGCACTAATACCCTGCCATATCATCACAGGTGCAGGTTTTTGAAATTTGCACTGATGACAATCCGGACGGTCCTTTTCCTCTTTGCCCCGTGGGACAAGATGTCCATGATTTCCCAAAATAATTTGACTCGTCAGACCTCAGGACACTCTTCCACTTTGAATCAGTCCATCTTAAATGGCGGCATTTCTGGGTGTTGCTGCTATATGGTTTTTGCTTTGCATCGTAGAGTTTTAACTTACATTTGTAGATGGAGCGACAAACTGAACAGACAATGATTTTCTGAAGTGGTGTTGGGCCCATGTGGCAGTATCCTTGACAGCGAAACGTTTACTCAATGATGCCACCCTGAGGGATTGCAGGTCACGGGCATTCAGTGGTGGTTTTTAGTCTTGCTGCTTATAGGATTTCTACAGATTCTCTGTCTGTTTTGATCATAGTGTGAACCGTAAATGATGAAATCCCGAAATTGGTTGCAACTCTGTTTTGAGAAACATTCTTACACTGTTGGACTATTTATTCATGCAGGTGTTCACAAAGTTTTGAACATTGCCCCATCCTTGCTTGTGAACAACTGAGCCTTTCAGGCATGCTCGTATTATGCCCGATCACGACACTCACCGGTTAGCCTGTGGAATATTCTGAATGGGTGTTATTTCAGCCTTCCTCAAATACTTTTCTTGCCCCTTTCCCATCTTATTTGGAATGTATTGCAGGCATCAAATTCAAAAGGAGGGAGTAATTGCAAAAAAAAAACAAAAAAACAATGTTCATCAGTTTGAACATGAAATAATCTGCCTTTGAAATGTATTCACTCGAACATAGGTTGAAAAAAGATGTGCCAACCATTTAACAAGCATCTCACCTTCATTGGAAATTGGGTGTTGACATTGATCATTTAACACTGTTGTTCACAGACATAAATTGTATCCTTCTCGTTTCATAGAAGTAATAACCCAACTCTATTGGATGGTGCCAAAGTGACCTATGGAGGAAAATTTCCAGAAGAGAAAGTGGAGGAAGTGAAATCTTTGGTGAAAATCCTACCAGTTTTCTTAGCCCTTATTCCATACTGGATGGTGTATTTCCAGGTAAATAATCAGTTTGAAATGTATTCAATGTATTTTGTGCAGTGGCTGAAGCGTGTCGATACAAAATGTAAAGGTAAAACACTGCCATGTGTTAACACGAAGGGGTGTCTATCGCGTTTAAGAATAGATATGGGAAGTGAATTCTCTAATGCTAATCTCCCTCTTATGTTACAGATGCAGACAACATATATTCTGCAAGGCCTCCATCTAAGAATTCCAGTTACTGCCTCAAATAGCACTACAGACTCCCACATGGTAACTAAACAAGTAATGGTGCAACTATCGGTACTATACATTTGGTGGCAAAGAGTGGATATTTATTTTGTGTACTGTACATCAGCACAAAGGATTGGGTGAGGAAAAATAGTTAGTTTGGTGTTTCCTGAAAAGAAAAAGTGGTTCTAAACACACAACAAACAGAATTTGAAATTGTAGGTCACTGACACAGTGACAGTGGTAGGTAACAGCTGGAGGCTGGCAAAGGTTGTGGTAATGCCCAGGAGATTAAGTCCAAACTTTACTGAACAGACTAATGCCTTGCAGGTTAGCAACCTGTCTGTATTTGGAACACTCCACGACAGCGCCTCCATCTGATGGTTCACGATTAATAAGTCTGACATAGCCAAGCTGTCTCCATCTTGACACAAGAGCATTATAGGCCCGAAATCCGTAAACATATGATGATGAAGCATGTCCAGATACATTCCCAGTCTTGCTTTCTAATCGATAAAACAGAAGTACAACATTCAGATCTATTGCATATTATGCTGTATGTGTCAAGTGATCTTAATAGCATGGAAATGATAAATATATTTGCCTTTAGATTTCACCAAACCAGGATCCCGTAGTTACTGTTGACAAGTGGTAGTCACATAAGAGCCAACATGGCAGGTGGTTTTCTTTCTCCCCATAAATTACACCCTACACACTATCAAAAATGAAACCCAGACGTTGTTTGCTACAAGTCTTGACACTTCTCAAAATCAAAAGGGAAATGAGATATGATGCCGCAGTGTTTTTACTTCCTCACCTGACACAGTTCAATGGCACAACTGAACAAATTAGATCTATTCAAGGAGACAGAACACACTGAAAGTGGAGCTGCAGGCGAACGGATGTGTTGTAATTATTTATGGTGCGGTACATTCAAAGCTAAATGCAATTGTTTTATCTCTTCAGTTACGATGCGCATGTGTGTGTGTGTGTGTGTGTGTGTGTGTGTGTGTGTGTGTGTGTGTGTGTGTGTGTGAGTGTGTGAGAGAGATCTTGTTCTCAAGTTATCCAGTGATCTAAGTGATATTAAACATACAGTAGATGGATATTATACACAGTATATTTTACACTGGGACAGGCTGGAGAATGTTGGAAGCGTATGTAGAATCTTTGTACTGTGTATATATTTACTCGATGTATTGCTGAGTGCACAAAGTGAGCTTGCCACTGCCTTCCAACCACAATTAGTGTGACTCCTAACCTAGCAAATCAATTCAGTCACTTAACTACTGTAATACACAGAAATTCAAGGGTTCGTGATCTAAAAATAGATCCACAGTAATAGGCATTCCCCCCTACTGTTTTCATAGATAGAATAGAATATAAAATCTGATTCTCATCATGCATCTTCGTCCTCTTTGCACGAAATCCACGCTTGTCTTTGGGCCCTCTTGTGAATACTGTACATCTATATGCATGAGGAGGAACGGAGCAATTTGTCATGTACTTTTACTGCAGAATCAGGCATGTACGCTCTCTTTGGAATGTGCATTGCGATGTCAAGCACTTTGCTACAAATCAAATGGAAGCATTTAGAACGTGACGAACAATGTGTGTACGTGTCTGATTTGCAGCCATCGTCTTGCTTTATTAGTTTAATTTTTATGTCGTGTATTAAATACATACAGAGTATACAATAATTCAGTTTAGCTGAATCCAAATGGTTATCTTGTGTATCCAGTCAACTTGTACCTCATCCTAGAAATAGCTAGTCTAACATCCATCCATCCATTTTTCAAACCACTTCTCCTTTCTCGTGTCACATGGGATGGATTAATGAAAGAGGACTCCAGCACGTGTTACTTATACAGGGTTTTATTTGGAAAAGGAAATTGATCAATTAGAAAATTATAATGTGCTAACAATAGACGAATGGAACAAAAATGAGTTGAGCTCGAAAATACATAACCAGAGACACACTCGGAAGACACTTTGGCATTTGAATGTAAATGGTTGCAGGTTCTTCGTGTTCATCATTCAAAACTTGTAGATGTGCTGAAGAAATTCCATGTGATTTCCTGTCTGGTAGGTGTCGTGCTTCACGTCTGCTTGCGGATAAAAAGTTTGTCTTTTGATCAATAGAATGTTATTGAAATGCATCCAGATGTGTTGACTTGGTACAATTTTCAGTTATATTTAACTATGACCACCTGGGGGTGCCAAAGTAATGGCGAGCCAAGAGTCCAAACGCACACAAATTTAGTCAGCTGTGTTAGACTGTGGAAAAATTCACCCCAGCTTTCACGCTTTATTGCATTTTCTACATTTTTATTTAATCTATTTTCTCTGAATCCTCCAGATGACATTTCGCTTCCCGGCAGCCTGGCTCACCATGTTTGATGCTGTGCTCATCCTCATGCTGATTCCTCTTAAGGACAAAGTGGTGGACCCCATTCTGAAACGGCGTGGCCTGCTGCCCTCCTCTCTGAAGAGGATTGCAGTGGGGATGTTCTTTGTCATGTGGTCGGCTGTGGCAGCGGGTGAGTACACAAAGGAATAGAAAAGATTCTTAGAAACTTACTTGGTGAAGAAAAAAAAAGAGAGAAGAAAGTTAGGGATTATTTTGTCAATTTCAAAGCACAATCATAGTGGAACTATACTTCCATAACACATGACATCTTCAAGACTATAAGACATGAAGCCTAAGCGCAAATGTTTGGAATATAGCCTATTTTGAACATGAGCGATTTGTAATTACAGAAAGTTAGATTCTGTCACAGATCGATAAATAATTTCCAAGCGTGCACATCACTTTACCGCTGGCAGCCTATATGTTTTGGGTTTCTGGAGCAGTTGAGGCATTGCACTGTTTTGTCTTGAACGACTGCTTCCTTGCCACTGAGTCATTTTTGGTTCTCGCCTGTGAATTATTTGAAAGTTTAACTCCAGCATCTCTAGGGGAAAAATGACTGCCTTGATTCAACCAAGCGGAGATTCTTGAGAGAGAAAATCTAGAAGACACATTTCTGACTAATTAAAATACAAAGATGTTCAATTAATTGTTTAAAACTGTGGCGTACTTTATTCTTCCTATATTTGATTTTGGCCCGACTATACAAGTATCTGGCAGAAGACCTCAGTCTGAACAAAAATGGATGCGCAACTCTTCCTTTTGAGAGACATTTTGTGCTATGAGGATAAGTGGTGGCCCCATATCGTTGCTCAATTGTTTGGATGAAATTGGGGAGTGTGGGCTGAGACTTATTGCTGAGGGCGAACAATTTCGGTCTCTTCCATCAGTGATGTTGTGAAAGGTATCTGAGATACATGTGATGTATCTCATTTTAAGATACCTTCTTTTCAGAGGACATCAGCATTCCTAGATGTTCTGACATATTCAGTTATGCTGTTGAAAGACCATTCCGGAATCTGCTTTTATCGCCCCACTTCTTGGGGGGAAAGTAAAGCCCTTTCACAGCAAAACAAATTCAGAAGATTGCAGCGAGTAATTTCTGGGAGTGGAGTAAAAGGGTTTACGATGGAGCAGGGGTGTGGGCATTGGTCGCACAACAGTGAGTTTACACAAAAGCTGTGATGCTGGATTCAGTCAGTTTGGACAACGTGATGTCATGTTGACAATAATATACTCTACACTTTCCATCCATCCGTATTCAAAATCACTCTTCCTCACTTGCGTCGTGGGTAAGCTAGGGCACTCCAGCTAATTTTGGGCAGGCGGGGTACACCATGAACTGGTTGCAGGGCACGTATAGAAAGCAATCAGTCCCTCTCACACCTGTATGGACAAGTCAGAGCTTTGCATGATTTTGGAATGTCGGAGGAAGCCGGAATACTGGAGTGAAGTCACGCAAGCACAGTGAAAACATGCAAATTTCACACTAAAAGTCGGAGCCCAGATTAAATCTCCCGCAACCTCAGATCTGTGACACAGATATGTTAACCACCTCCTTAAAACCTTCCAGGAACAGTATTTAAACAGTTTATATCATACATCATACAAATACATGAATGCGTTTGTCAACAGTGTTGCTGCGCTTGCCTTCAATTGCATACATTGATTCCTGGGAACTGCCTCACACTCTTTAGTCTTCAGCCTGCCCACCTTTAACCCCAAGAGGCTATACATTTGCAAATAATCTCAAAGGAAGAGGCTGAAATCATGTTGCAAAGATGCTTGACGAGACTCACGCTGGCAAGAAAATGAAATTATGCCCGTTTTTACACAGAGCGCCAGCCACTCTCCCAAAATAGGGCCCTAAATCTTCAGCCTGCAACTCTCTCTTAATGAAATAAGTGCTGTGCAATTTCACAGGGTTTGCTATGAGGCAAAGTTGGACCTCCAATGCAGTAAAGACCGCCAGAAATATGCTGGCCTGCAGAGAATGATTGATTTGTTATTTGATTTTTGTTTGTGTACTGACTGCGGGAAGCTGAAGAAAGCAGGGCTGACATCGCTTATGAAGTATTTTTTTTGTTGGTTGTACTTAATGCTTGAAAAGTGTGTGTTCTCATGTGCTTCTTTTGGAGCTCAATTGCCTTTAGATTTTCAGGACTAAGGATCATGTTGGGCTGTGTGGTGTTTGTCAGGAGGGGGTAAGAAGGTTTGTGTGCATGGACTAAGATGGAAAGCTCGTATTATTGCATGGTCGGATTACAAGACTACAACTGCTCTCCAAGTGCAGCATTAAGTGAAGTAGTTATGATATGAGGCTGCCTTAGGATGTTTTCTGCCAGTACTGGAGCTGCTGGTTGCAAGATAATAGCAACCAATTAAAGTTAAGAATGAAGTAGTGGTTGATGACCGACTCTGGCTTTTTTCAGAAAGGAGTTATAATCGCGGTCACACGTCTAGAACTTTGCATGTGTTTTTTGTTTGTTTGCTTTCTACTTGTGCTCACATTTACTGTCAAACTGCCTGTTTTTGTCTGCCCATCAGGTATTCTGGAGACAAAACGGCTGGAGATCGTCAAAGCAAATGGTCCCATTGACCAAGTGCTTGGCAACGTAGTCTACTATGCAGCGGATTTACCCATTTGGTGGCAAGTGCCTCAATATGTCCTGATAGGCATCAGTGAAATATTCGCCAGCATTGCAGGTACTGTGAATTTGGTGCTGTTGTGTAACCTTCAATTTCAGATAAACAAAATGAAGTGGTAACTCCTGATTCACCCTTACTAAAGTCACTCAGATTGGATTGTCAGCTAAAATGGCAAATATTCTGACGTCTCAACATCCTTGTGTTATCCCATCACTTGCACCAACCGTAACTCAATAGAGGGAGGTTCTGTAATTGCCAGATGGCAAATGCTACTCTTATTGCAAGGTGGGGGCTCAATGCCGTACTACAGTTCAGGCCCGCGGTTTACCACGAATGGGGTCCCTCGTGTGTCTCACATTCTGTCAATGCTTTTCCACTGGCAAAGCGTTGGAGCATGTTTGTGGTACCAGCAGAGTCAATTGAGGCTCTCTGCCGGACAAGTTGGCGCATACTTTTGCTTCATAACTGTTTGACGAGATTAGTTCGATATTAGTACAATTAATTTAGTAATTCATCTCTTGTATCAAAACGTGCAAAACAGCCTGTTTTTCACATTCACATCCCTCTCTCTCTCTCTCTCTCTCTCTCTCTCTCTCTCTCTCTCTGTCTTTCTCTCTCTGTCACTCTCGCTCACAGCCTCGCACACACTCGCTCATTCACACAAACAGGCATGCCACCGCAGGCAATGTAGGGAAATTAAACACATTTTACCTTGGCTTAGCCTAGCTGAGAGTTGAAGTTGGCAAGCGTGACACGGTGGGGAATACATAGCTTTCTGTGCCACTCCGTACAGCTTCCAAGTTTTAGTACGCCCTTTTACATACGGCCAGGTTTTGTTGCGCTCATCTCGTTTTACTGCAGACGGTTAGATCTCTCTTCCGCACTATGACTGCCATGGTAAATTTTTTCATAGGTGAACAATCTCAACAGGCATCCACATTCATGACAGCTTGTCACATATGCCCGTTCTGTACCCTTGCTTTCTTTTAGTTACAATGATGGCATTTGGTCCACAGTTGCCTCAAATGGGATTGCGATGGTCACCAGGAACATAAAGTAAACTGAACCTTTGAACAGCTCATCCATTTGTTTTAGGTGAACAGAAGGATAAAAATAGATTGCCCTAAAATAAATCTGTATGAGCCATAAAATAAATTTAGATGAGAAAGATACGCAATACGAGCATCCAACCTCTGTTTACCATGCTAACACTGAGCCAATGAATCCTGATTTGTTTTGACAATATAAAATGTGTCCGTGTGAGTAAATGGCTTTTTTTTTAGAATATAGAAAATCAATTTATAGCGTTTTGAGATTTTAAAACGCAGACAAAACTAAAATCTGCCTTACCGAAGCTGGTGGCATAATGCAATGTAACGTTCATTGAAGGCAATGCATGTGCATTGAGAAGAAGTCATAACTTGCTCATTTTTCTCAACACATTTTGATGAAGCTTACTTTTTTTGTCAAAGCCAGACCGCATGCTATCACTTCAGAAAATGCATTTGTGATTTTTGTGATGTCCACGAACATAGAACGTGGCAACATTTGTTTGATTTATTTTCCAGGTTTTTTTTTTTTAAACAGGCTGACATTAAGGTTGTGTGTAAAATAGTGACATCTGGGTCAGTTCCTACAAAGCATGAATGTAAACCTGAAGAAGAGCATATGATGGGGTTAACACAGATGATGTTTACTTAGAAAAACCTTGTCACCATTCATGCCTTTTAGATCCTCGTAGTAAAACAGCCACAAGAGGGCCGTCGATAACAGTATCGACCACCGTTGCGATTACCCGATACCTTGAAATAAGACCGGTATTGGTACTTTTTCTGCTCATTGTTTCATTCATTACTTGAGCTTTAGCCCGCTGTGATCTGACAGAACCCTCGATAGAAATCAGCATCATGTCACAGAATTGAATATTGAGTTTAGTAATTACAATGCGGAGAGCTTCATGGGACTGTTAAACACAGAGGTGTTTTTTTTTTCTTCAAATCCAAACACAGACAAAACTATACTGCAGTTTGCAAAAATCAATTAAAAATCATCACTGTCTCCCTCGCTCCCTCTCCATTAATTAGCTCTAACTCCGAGAAGAATAGTCTGACAGATTTGTGACATTAAGTATGTTAAATGAAAATAAATATTTTCCCTTAGTCCACTTTGTTTGAATAAATCTGTCAAAAGGCACTGCTGTCAAACCTAATCAGTCCCCTGTCTTAAAAGACGACAAGGAACTTTCACGTGCACCATGCCAGTTATTTGTTTTGTTGGAAGGGCCCTTGACATTTTGTTTGCAAGAAAATCACTTTTAATTGCTCCTTAAGAAGAAAACATTTCAAATCCCACGTTTGTTCAGCTTTTATTCTTAGTCTCAAAAGGTTAAATTGTTTGGTTAATTCACGGTGGCGATGTAAACGTCATTTATATCTGAGGTTTCTGTTGCAAAATCTTACCTCGTAATGTAAGTTTGCGGGCATTGCAGTCTTCTGCAAAGTGCGTTAGATAGTGAGTTGTAATCAAAAGGTCATTCAAGGATACAAACATGCCATTGAAAACAACTAGAAAGTTAAGGTTTGCAATGCTCTAATACCAATGTTTTTATAGCCCTAACATAGGTATGTATCTGTGAGGAAGCTGTCCTTTGAGTTTTAAAAAGCAAACATATTCAACCACCGCTCTGTAATCTCTCCAGACAGATGTAGCTATCGGGCCTTATTTGAAAAATCACATGAGGTGCCATGAAATTATCAATGTCAGCTTGCAGGCAGGCAGGTCTGGTGGTGGAAAATAAGACTCCCACCCTGATGCTTTCCATCTGTCTCTGCAAACAGTGTGATTTGTCTTCCAGAAATGTGGTTGTCTTCCAGACTATGGCATAGCGTAGCAGGTTGACAACCCACTAGCAAATGCCGTCAGACTAATGACCCCCTATGCCGCTTGACCATTACACTTAAAGCCAGCGAATACGCAGTTTCAGAATGCTTTGCCGATGTTGCGACCAAATTGGGCATTCTATTTTGCATCAGTTGCTTCCAGACATATTTATTAAGAATTATTCCCCAAACAATTGACTATTACTAATTAATCTTTTTTATTTTATTATATATATATTTTTTTTTTTTACACTCCAAACAACGTACCTACCTACTGTTGCAGCCATTCTTTCAGCCAATAAAGGAAGCAGCCAAGCGACCTCCTGTTTTAATTTCAACTAATAAAACAAATGTGTTCTCTGTTCTGCAGGACTGGAGTTTGCTTACTCTGCCGCGCCAAAGTCGATGCAGAGTGCCATCATGGGGCTCTTCTTCTTTTTCTCTGGGATAGGCTCCTTTGTGGGCTCGGGTTTGTTGGCCATCGTGTCCCTCAAGGCGATTGGCTGGATGTCATCCCACAGAGATTTTGGTAAGAAAATAGGACATTTCAGGGTGACACATCCCTGCATCTTAACACGGTTCGCACAAATGTTTCTAGTGTTTTGGTTCTCTTATTTAGCCAAATAGCTCACTAAAATATTTGAAATGTTTGTACAATAATGGGTAGTTCTACACATTTGTAACTTGAAACCACAATCATGGAAATCAGTGGAAACATATTAACCTTATGATGGTTAAAAATTCTTCAACCTCATACAGTATTTGGTCACCTGCGATCCCGTTTCTGGTTTAGGCCGAGACCAATTTAGTCATAACAGCGAACACTATCTTGACAAAGAAAGTGTGTTTTGCTTTATGGAAACCCTTTGAAATGACAGCATCCGGGTAGGGCCGCCTGGTGTGATTGGGCAGTTAATGTGCATCATCATCATCACAGATGATTGCCTCTGTGTTGTCCACACGGCACGACACCTGACCAAGCCACACACTGCAAACTGCTATTGACTTTGCATGGCATGCGTGCGAGTGTGGATTTGGAGGGATCGATCTGGACTGCTGAAATGTATTTTTCCGGGACAGGATTTAAGAGTGTTCATAGACTGTGGTCATTTCAAATCCACTTAAAGGTGTTTGTAAATTAATTATGGAGTGCAGTCTTGTTTCCATGATTGACATGCCAGCAGATTGATGAGTTCCTACCAACAGAAGGTTGCCGACCCAGATCACATTTCTATGGGCATGTGGTAAAGATGTAAATAACATACCCACAAAACCCTAATAGCGCCTTATACAGTGTGCCTCAGGAATGAGTGTGATTTTGATTATGTTAGCTCTGGAAGGTGGGTTACACGCTTCATAAATCCATCGGTTTCTCAGCTTAGCTTCATTTAATGGGCACTTTAAGTAGAGCCAGATTGCCTGAAAGACGCCTTTTGTTTTCAAAGACACATCATTTCAATGGTGATCTTAAGAAATGGAACAAAACATCCTCCTGGCCACAGATTAAAGCCAAAAAAAAAAAAGAATAAATAACGGATGACACAAAGCTTAGGTATGAAGTACAGTCAAGAATTGTACCGTTTGTTTTGTGGCTGTTTTTCACAGCTTGTTTGATGTTACCGTATTGAGTCCTCTTAACTCTCAAGGTGGGAAAGATTCAGCTCATTTCCATTGCTGCAGGCATAATGGTGTTCGGTAAACAGCTTTCTGGGTGAACTGTTCTGAGTTTTACTGAGCCACACTGGCCTGAAGATAGATGAGGAACATTAATCACAGGCCGGGGGTCTGATTACACCTCGCTGCTCGACTTTAGTAAAGCTGTCCCCTGAGCATTAACATGGAGATGGAACTGCTAGTCCGGCATCACACGGCTTGACGCTGTCACTCTGTCTCCACCCGCTCATCCTGGAAAAGTTTCTGTCTCAAAGTGTCTTTCCATCTTGCTTGATGTTGTTGGCAGGTATGTTTACAGAGAGGGAAACAGTCATTTTGCAGACAGTTTGGTTTTGTGGATTTTGCTAACTTGGGTCCAAATTTGCAAACGTATATTCTTATACACATTTTGACACAGCCAAAAGGTGAGCGTAGCAAGAAGGTTTAACCGTTGATGAGGTTAATCTTGAAAGTATATTTTATTTTAACTCTAAATAAATAAAGACAGACCCATTTTTTTTTTTTTTTTTTTTTTTTTTTAATGACTCAATCAGTGCTGCAGATTGGTCTCAGGAGGTGATCTCTCTAAAAGTGGACCAGTGTTTGACATTATATATGTAGTAATACCAAGTTAAAAACAAAAACAGCAAGCTTGTGTTGATAATATTATAGTCTATATCAGGGGCCCCCAACCTTTTTTGCCCCACGGACCGGTTTATGTCAGACAATATTTTCAGGGACCGGCATTTAAGGTGTGGCGGAATTAATACAACAAAATAATATGGTATGAGCTGCATGAAAACTGTGGCGTTTTCGAAATATAATAATAAACACAAGGAGCGTCTAATCTGGTCGCAACACTCCGATCGCTATGGCAATGTTTAATGCCTTCAAAATACGATACAACGCAAATTCAAAGTGCATGAAAATGACGACTCACCACAGCACCGAGCTTGATTTTCTGCAACCAGATGGTCCCATCTCGGGGTAATAGGAGACAATGACACCTCAAGTGTGTGGTTTATGTCCAGTCTACTTCGTAATTTTGTTTTCGTCGCCGTTGCTGCAGAAACCCCCTGCCTCACACCAGTAGGATGTCGGAAATAGCAACAGTGCTATTGTGGCGATCTCAGAATATTCAGCCATAACTTTAATCCAGTTGTCTCAAACGTACTTTTAAGGCCGCCGTCATTTACGATCTCCAGCAGTTTTTTTTTTACTCATTTTGCGAGCTCCTGCGTTTTGTTTTGAAGTAATCGGTCACGTGATGGAGAAGCGTGGCTTGACGTGTGTCAAGCGTGACACAGAC